GGGCTCCCATCAAAGGAGAATGTTACACAAGTCAGAAGGGGAGAGCTGTGGGTAGCAGGAGGAAAATTTACTTTGTTGAAGTTCCTCGGGTGAGAGGGGAAGTACAACCTCCCAGAACAGGGTTATTCTGCACTCAAGTCTCACCAGCCCTCAGCCCTTCCTCTGGAGGGGGTTCTCAGCAGCCATCAGTTGGAGCTGGACATGGACATGGGGTTTGTGACAGGGAAGCCCATCAGGACCTGAACTTTCTGTGCTCCTGGCCCATTCTCTGAAACGACACAAGAAAGCCCTCACAGTTCATTCATCTGAGCTGCCAGTAAAGAAGAGATCACTCTAAAGCAGGTGCTGGCTGTGTGCAGAGCTGCTCAGTGTTGTAGTCAGTGAAGTGAACAGGGGTGCACAGAATTCTGATGAACTCTGAGCTGCAGACACTTCGTGTATCCTAAAAATCACCAGTTGTTTCTTTGTGCAGGAGCTGTAGCTGTGTCCCCCAGTCCTGTCTGTCACACTGAGCAACCAGTTCATAAACCAGGTCTGACTGTAACATTGCACATGCACTTACAGGATGCATTCTAAATGAAAGGGATCAAAAGCCTGATCAGCAAATCCTCCAAGTCAGGAGAAAGCCTGAAATACCACAAGGAATGTCAGATTTCTTGATCTTTGGTGCTGGGCAACTGCAGAGCAATTATGGGTGGTGTGTTGGGTTATAAAAGACAGACTCATGAGGAGTCACAGCAGTGACTTCTGAAGGGGAGGCAAACATTTGTTTTTCATTCTTCTGCAAAACGGGGTTGCTTTTGTCTGGCTTTAAACACATCAGCTATGGTGGCACAGGGAATGAGAGGTGATTTCGTGTATCCAGAGATACTGAAGGTGTAATTCTTCCACTTGCAGTCCTTGCAGGCAATAAAATCAGGTAGCACACTATTAGATAGGAGCAAAAGTGGAATTTATAGTCAGGAGTGACTCTAAAACACTAATAACCCTTTGGAAAATCTTACTTTCAGACTTCATTCCTCTTTTTCAAGTCCAGATTGTCACAGATCCTGGGGGAGAAGGTAGAGTTCAGTCTCATTCCCAAGAACTCTGGTAAGGAATTCCCAGGAGATAGAAAGTAGCTATAAAAAGCACAGCCATCTAAGATCTATCTGAGAAGTACAAAGTTGAAATGTGTATTGCTTTTGGCTGAAACATTACTATTAAAAAATATTTTTTATTTTTAATGACATCTGCAGTGGGGCAGGGACTGGCTAAAGCACCTGTCTGCGTGCTCTCATCTTTGGAAAAAGGAGATGCTAGCGTGAAGTTTGTGCTTTAAGGAGAAGCTACATCTCCTATGATGCTCAAAATCTCTCCCAGAAAAAAAAAACAAAGAGAAACACAATACAAAAAACCCACAAAAAAACCAACAAACCAACCAAATAAACAAAACAAACAAACCCCACAACAGAGAAGTGAAATCAAAACTTCAGAGTCCCAGGAAAGGAGGAACTGCTGTCACTCAAACATTATTAAAACCACCCATCTTAATCCCCTGAATTATAATCATCATTCAGCATTTCATTGCAGCTAAGAAGAGATCAGATAAATCACAGTCATACATTACTTCCCTCTAGGCATTGTGTATAAGTAAAAGCAGCAGTTTCTCTTTGCTGGTCTTCATGGATTGCACTCTGTGGGAGTTTTCCTTTAAGCAATGCCTGCCCTGCAAAAGGGGATCTTTCACCCAAGAACTTTTCCTTTCTTGTATTTTTCTTTTAAATACAGAGGAAACTTCCCACTTTGAGGCAGATAACACTACACAAAGAACATGAAGGAACAGTTAGCACTGAGAAACTGAAAATGTTACCTATTATTTGATCAATATTTCCTACCGCTGCCATCAAATTGGACCGTCAGGGATCCAGGGATTTTTAAGAGGCATGTCGAGAACCTGAAATGCTTTTCATGCTCTTAAATAAAGAGAAAAAAAAGTGCCTTTTTTCCAGGTACTTTGTTCTTTGTGGGATTGGTTGCCACGTTCACACTGGAGGTGAAAGCAGGAGCATCCGAAATGCCCAGCTAAATGGTCAGAGGGTCCCAGAGACATTCCTGTGTGGAATGCTGACTGGCAGGCTGCTGCTGGGGGGTGGATATTTGAAATGGGAGCCTGCCACTGGCAAAGCCCAGGAAAGGAAGGTCTGGAACGTTAGAGGCAGAAGCTGTTGGCTTCCACCCAGCCACAAGGGAAGGGCAAGGTGACCTCCAGCCGTGTCCGTGGCTTCCAGTGTCTGTCCAGGACAGGTAAGCACAGACAGGTCGGGTATTTCTACAGAGATTCGGAGGATCTGGAAAGACACTGCTGCCACCTGCTGTGCCATTCTGCTTCTAAATCCACAAACCCACGCCCTGAGTAAGGCCACTGCCCAAAGCTCATGTCTTCCCGTGGGATTTGCCTGCTGGGGTTAGAAAAAGATGGACTGATGTGAGGTTTTAACCTCATTTCGTGGTAGTGACCCCACTAACCCCCCAGAGGTACTTCACAGGTGAGACCACAGCAGTTATGCAGCCCAGGAGAACACAGCAAACCACTTCCACACAACCACACAACCACACCTGCTGCTTGTGGTTGGCAGTGTCACCTGGAATTGAGAGCATCCACCTCCCCCACTGGAGCTGGTCTGTGGTCTAGAGCACCTGACAGAGAAGGTGAGGGAGGAAGGAGATCTGTGTTAGGGATTCTACACCCCATGGCCTCACCCCCAAACAAAATTAAAGTCTTTAACTTCATGATCTTTTGGTTATTTATAAATCCAAAGCTACTTAACCTTTCCCCAGATTAATTTTTCAGGATTACAGTTCCACAAAAAAGCTTTTTCACTCCTCCCCAGGAGGCAGTGCCTTTAAAAGCCTTCAAGACGTGGGTGCAAAGTCAAAATCCCACTTTCAAACTAACTCCCTGTAAGATTGCTTCTAATCTGAAAAATGCTTGAAAAAGTGGCACCCGTTTTGCCTGAGTGATCACTTTTCCATGATTTCTTCAGATCAGAGGGTTATCAAAGCACTTGAGGCTCCTCTGCCTACCATGTTTAAACACTGTGTCATGAACAAATTAAAGCAAAGCTGATTACAGCTATTCAGTACTGCAGATTATCAACACTCTTGTCCAGATGACTCAACTTCATCTCTGAAAAAGTGAAAACACCAGAGAGTCAAAGGTCATTTTTCATGAATTCGTGCTGTGAAAGGCTCTCGTGTGGTTTCATCTTTGATTCAGACTGCAGGATTACAAAGAATGAGATACTTGCACAGAATGAAGAACAAGTGTAAGGCATGAAAATGCACTACTTGGAGCTCTTGCACAGTTCATGGCAACTGCTAAACAGAAATTGAGGTAAAATTTAATTGTAATTGCTGTAAGATTAATTGTGGCCTGGAGCAGAAGGCAATGACTTGTCAGACTCCAGGACTCTGAGGATTGCCAACAGTTAGCACTGTAATTATGTTATTTTTATAACTCAGGCAAGTAACAAAGGGGTGATTATAAGGTAAGGGTATAAATGTTCTGCCAGTAACATGAACACTGCCTGAATAAAATATTATTATTACAAGAAGAATGACAGATGTGGGAAAACATTGAAACAGCCATTGAAGTACTCAATTTGTAACCGCCTCATCAGCAGCAAGGTGCTAAGGAGCAACCATCGAGTCTGCCAAAGTCAAACTGATTTAAGTGTTTCTTTGGCAGCACCCCTGGGACGTGGAGCAGTTTGCAAACTAGTAGCAGGAACCTTTAGGGACTGGTGAGGGATGTGATACCAGAAAGCTGCTGGGAACACAGCAGTGACTACAAGTAGGCGGTGACAGCTGTGACAAGGGTAGAGATTTGAAGCTGCCAAGCTTCATTTGAGGTTTCAAGAGGGCTTCAAGCAGGAAACACAAAGCTGCTGAACTAATGTTTTAATGCTGAGAAAAGTGTAAAGAAAGATTAAAACATACCAGGTGGGTTCAGCCAACGGAGGAGAGAGCTGATGGGGACAGTCTATAGATGAACAATGGACTGGCATAAAAAGAATAGTGATGAGTTATTCTCCATGTAATTGGCTTGGTCCTTTTAGGTTAAATCAGGATGTGTGGGGAATAACTACAATAACAGTGGAATGCCACAGGAAGCAACTTAAGATGTGGGATCTGCCATATGGGAGGCTTCTGAACAACAGGGGGACAAACAGCAGTTAAGAACAGTCCAGACATACTTGCTGTGCTTCAGAAAAGGGGAAATGGAATAAAAGGTTCTGTGATTTCCTTTCAACCATGTGTTTGATTCTGTAGTTTGCATGAACAGCACTTGAGCTTGCTTGAAGACACTACATTTTTTTAAAGTTAAACTTACAGGGCGAAAAAAAAAATTAAACCAAACTATTTAGGTTTTCACCTTAAATTTGGTAAAAAAAGTTCAAGTAACTGTATTTTTACATGTTAACATGCAATGTTAACATTGCTATCCTGTGTTGTCAACATCACTAAAATCAGCTCAAGAAATGTGACTGCTATTTCCATACTTTTTCTGAAGAGAAAGAATGTTACTAATAAACTAAGATAGAAGTAATTTTCTTTCTTGCTAGGGATTCTATACTACAATTTAGGTTAAGCTCTATTTGCATATTAGTATTTTAAAGGGAATCAAAAGAAAACACTTGCTAAAAAAAAAAATCCAAGTAAAACCAAACCCCTAAAATATACTAATGTATACTTACTTTCAAAAATCATGGCATTTTATGGCTGACTTTCTGAGCATTGTAATTCCAAAATAGAGTATTTTATTTCCACTTTTCATCAAAATACCTATTTGTTTTCAGTTTAGAATAAAACCACAGAGAGGAAAGAAAGGCTTAAAACTGTGCATATGACTTATTTTACAATTAGTGTTCAGCTGCTTATTGGGTTCTGGAGGCCATTCACAAGAGTCATAGATATGAAAATATAGAACTGTCTTTATTAATGAGTTATGCATTTGTTCAAATCAGGTTTCTTGGGATACAGCCTTCTATTTGGATTTCAGCTGGCCAGCCATTGTATCTGTTGGTCTTCTGGTCAGAGTGGTTTATCTGTAAAAATAAAATAAATTTCAAAAATCAACGTTTAGTTCTCTCCATTTACACACTAGTTTGTCAAAGCTCATATAAGAGAAAGGGGTGATGGAGGGGGACCGGGAAGCAAAGTAGCACATCATGCTCGACATAATGAGTGAAGATTCCACCAGTTTCTCTCTTACATGGAGTGCTTTATTTATTTCCCAGATGGCTGTCGTGATATACACTCAATTGAATACCTTTGTCCAGCAGAAGCTCTGAAATGTGAACAATTCTGCAACAATATTTTGCACCAGTACAGGTTGGGGGCTGACCTGCTGGGAAGCAGCTCTGCAGAGAAGGACCTGGGGGTCCTGGTGGACAAAGAGCTGTCCCTGTGTGTCCTGGGGGCCAAGGAGGCCAATCCTGGGGTGTGCCAGGAAGAGCACTGCCAGCAGGTCAGGGAGGTGATCCTGCCCCTCTGCCCAGCCCTGGGAGGCACATCTGCAGTGCTGGGTCCAGCTCTGGGCTCCTCAGGACAGGAGGGATATGGAGCTCTTGGAGCAGGTCCAGAGGAAGATGTGAAGATGCTGAAGGGACTGCAGCATCTCTGGGAGCAGGAAAGGCTGAGGGAGCTGGGGCTGTTCAGCCTCCAGAGCAGACACTGAGAGGGGACCTCCCCCAGGTCTGGAGGGGCTGCAGGGAGGGGGCAGAGGATGGACCAGGCTCTGCTCGGGGGGCCCAGCAATGGCACGAGAGGAACGGGCAGGAACTGATGCCCAGGAAGTTCCACCTGGACATGAGAAAAAACTTCTTTGCTGGGCAGTGACCCAGCACTGAGCAGAGACCAGAGAGGGTGTGGAGTCTCCTCACTGGGGATATTCCAGAACTGCCTGGACACAATCCTGTGCCATGTGCTCTGGGATGGCCCTGCTGGAGCAGGGAGGTGGGACCAGATGACCCACTGTGGTCCCTTCCAGCCTGACCCATCCTGTGATTCTGTAATATTCTGGGAAAAAAAACCACACTATGGCAGTTTGATGTGGCTTTGGAGGGAACTAGCATCATCAAGGACCTGACACCTGTGTTGGGTTTCCTCTCAGAATAAAATGTCTCTGCACAGGACATCAAGTTGAACACTTCCAAACTGAGCCTCTTTAGAATCTCTGGTCACTTCCAAAATTTTTCTACCATTGATTTAGTCCTAGTGTGGTACAAGTCAGTTCTAGCACATGGCCCAGTTCCAAAGCACAGAATGATGCACAAACAGCCTGCAGTTGTTATAAATAATTCACAGATTCTACACCTGAAAGTTATACCTTGATATACAGACAAATATAAAGTGAAAATAAAATGAACATGACCTTTTCTTTTTGGATATCATCTGGGAGCTTGAAGCCTTTGGCAGCTATAAAAACCCAGCTTGACCTGAACTTTATATTCATTATTTCTTTGCTTCCCAGTTCTTCTACTAATTTTTTGGCATCATTTTTCAACCTAGGAAAACGTAGTGAAAAAATGTGTTAAAAATTCAGGATGTGAAAAATGTTGAAAAAGATCACAGCTGATTCATACTTTACAATAAGCATTAAACCAGAAGAAGCAAAAATGAGAATTAAAAAGTCCTGAGAATTGTGTTAGCAGCATGACACTGAATTCCCCAGGAGAATTCATGTTGAATTCATGGAATTTTCTTCCTCCTCAACACGTTCCTGACGTTAATACAACCTGTTTGTAACAGCATAGCAGAAAGAAAAATGTATCCCAAACACTATCTCATATTCCAACCCTTCTTAAGTAAGGACAAGGGCATCAAATGTGGATTAAGTATTTTCCTGGATGATTATAAGATCATGAATCCAGCTAAAAATCCCATAGGAGTCAAAAGCACCCGAAGAATCAGGGTAAGATGTAAGAAGGAATGAAAACTAGGCACATCATAATTGTAAGTGTGGATAAATAACATATAAGAATAAGGAAGGTTGTGACTCAGAGGTAACAGCAGTGTCCTTTGGGGTGCTTTTAAACAGTGTAACGCAATTATCCATCTTTGGGAACATCAACATACCTGATATGTGCAGTCACGGAAAGGACATGGAATCAAAACCTTTTAGGCAGGAAATGAGGGAACAACTCTTGACTATAGAGTGGAATTTACCATTCCTTCACCCCATGACTCAGCAGTCACTTCCCAGCCCTGCTCCTCAGCCTGAATAACCTGCTTACAAGGCGCTTCCATCATCGTGAGTCGCCATCAGCAGGAGGGTCCCTTCCTGGGCATTCCTGATGAAACTCATCATCTCTCCCGAGTGGTCTGTGGGAATCAATCACACAACTGATTATTCATCACACACACATCACCTTCCTGTTCATGCATGGAAGGCCACAAGCATTTTTAAGTGGTCAGAGAGTCAGCTTCCAGTGCCCCAGATCATTCTGTTTCTCCTCAGTAACTTACTGTTCAAAGTTTAGAAAATGTGTATAAACTACTCTTCAAGTAGATCACCTTTCTGGTTACGTGGAAGGATGTTAAGAGACAGACTAGAATATCTCCTATGATGGTTTTGCAACTAAAATACGACAAAATATGTCAGGAAAAGGGATTTTGCTGAGTGAAGGATCTGGATGTAGTATCTGGTTAAGGGCTACTCCTACCAGATTGAAATAATGGAGAAAAAAAAAAGAAAAAAAATGGGAAAAGAACAATAATTTTTTTTTAAAAAAAGACAACTATCTCAACCAACAGGAGAAATTCAGCTTTTAAGGCAACATTTGTCAGCATATCTGGCCAGAGCATATTTTATGAAGACAGCAGCTGTTTGTTTCTAGCTGACCCCTGTTGATGATACAAACATAATCATTGGAAAGAGCAGAATAATTCTGTAAGTCCTTTCTTAGTGCTGAAACTCTAACAAAGCTCTATTGCACTCTTTTCCTTACCTCCTGTCCACATGTCAAAAAATTTTGTTGATGTAACTTTTCCTGTTTTATCTGTAATTAAAAAAAGACTTGTGTAAATATGAGCAATTATTATTTTATTCAATAAGCATATATACTTACCAGTTTCAGCTAAAGCTAGGCTCCTTGTATTATTTGGCTTCTGAGCTTTTTTTGGTTTCAGTTTTTAAATAGGAATATGGACTAATGTGAGTTTAAGATTTGGGGAGAATATTTTGATTCATGTAGTCTTTGAATCACCAAGTGTGACTACAACATTTTTATTACTTCTTGTTTGAAAGAAAAAAAATCAATTTCCATGTGCTTCCAGGTTTTTATATGTAAATATACTATACTAGGTCACAACCATTGATAGGAAAATTAGCTAAGCCTAAGAATATTTGAGTGAGCTTAAGACTATTCTGTGAAGTGTTTGAGATGCTCAAGCTTTCATACCATTTGAATGTCAGCAGACAGAAACACAATAATCATCATTACTGTATCAGAAACTGGGCATGCAAATAATCAATAATTCCAAAACATTTTGGCCAATATTCATCATCAGTTATGCTGCTGTTCAGATGCTTATCTTTGGTTAAACAAGACACGAACAATTGAAAATATTTTACAAATTTCTAAATCCATGCAAACCGAGTTAACTGATTTTCATTATCCAAGACCCTGCTTGGATCCCTGCTGTGTGAGAGGATTTTTTCCATTTAGAGTGCATCAACCAATTTCTAGTGAGAAGATCCAGCAGCTCCTGATTCCTTTCTAGCTTGTCTTTGATCCCTCTGTGGTAAAAATTACGATGGCAGATTGTGCTGAGTACAGGACTCTGCATGGCAGGTTTATCAGTGCTGATGAGGGGAAAAGGTGGCAAAAATCTGTCAGTGGTAAAACAGAATTCTAGGCCTGGGTTGCTTCTGAGTAGAGGTCACCAGAAAATTGAAAAGCCTGTAGTGGAGGCAGGAGAAATTCACACAATCGTTTTTTATTCCCTCTGTGTTGTTGGTTTAGGCTTAATAGTTCTGTCTTCCTTCTTACAAAAGACCATATTCCTTCATAAAAGAAAGTTATCATCATGGAATAAAAGACAAGTGTGATGCCATAAGACACTTGTTGAGCAAAGTCATTAGTTTGACTGATCTAATTAGAGGACATGTAGAAAAAGTGTCTCACTCCAGATTGGTGCAGGATAATGGACAGATTTACCTGCTCCTGTGTGCCATAATCTTGCTTATGCATTCAAGATGGGTATTTGCCCTCTTACTCTACAGCTGTTTGCTGAAAACTAACTTTTTAACCATTTATCTGTTATAACCAGTAAAGTTTTTATGATTATTGCAAAAAAAATTGCAGTAGTTATCTGGAAAAAAAAATGGAATGGATTCTTGTCGATGGTTAATTCAACCTTCAACAAAATCATGCAAGTTTAGACAAGATCAAGGTCTTACTTAGACAAAAAAATTGAAATATAAGTGTTTTGTGATCAAAGTCAACTTGACTGTGCCTAAGAACTCCCTTTCTTCCTCTCCTCCACAGGATTTAGGCATTCATTTTTCCCTGGATCCATAATTGAAGACACTGCTCTTCATCATCATTCCCATTCATTTGAATCAAAATGGTGCCTCCAGATCTGGAATAAAGAGCACCTTCTGCTTCCCAGTGATTTCTACTGCTAATAAAGACTTATATATATAATGGCAATTTAATATTAATCAAGCTTTGAATTTGTCTTTCTGTCCACCGACCAAGACTGGAAAATGAATTTGTGCCATGGCTGCACCTTGTGGCAGAGCTGCACTTCCCAGTTACTGCTTCCCCCTTATCAGTGGAGCAGAAGATATATTTTTTCAAGGATTGAAGCTGAAAATTCAGTCTTACTGCTGGAGATCACAGATATCTGTGCTGTGCTACAGGTTTTTTGTCTAATAAAATACACTTACACCACCTCTATGCACACATCCTCTATTTTCTTATACTGGTTTCTGAACATGTTTCTTTTGTTTACCCAGAAGACTGTTTTTCTCACACAGATTTGTTTTTCTTACATTTAACATGAATCAAGTTTGCAGTATTTTCCTTTCCCTTCCATGCTAGCTGGTAAAAACAGCCACAAACCCAACAACCCAACCCCCCAAGAACATATGTAATTTATCGCTGTGCAAAAATATGTTTCTCTCTAACATTTTTTCTCTTACTTACAATTCACAGTGGCAATGTTTATACCTCTTCCAACATTACCATTCCCTTCACTTATGAGCCTGGAATTGAAATAAGTACAGCATCAGCAAAATGAACCTGGTCCAAAGTTATATTTACCAGTGCTAAGCAATTTTCTGATATTTATGTTTTCTTCAGTTACTTAGTTCAAGACTTTGTAGTAAACAAGACATGTGGCTTAAAAATCTTGCCCATTGTATCAGTTAGTTTCCTTTAAAAATGGGTCCTTCAAAATGAGCCAGATCAAGAAAATACTTCATATAAATGCAGACAGAAAGATAAAGGAGAAAAAAAAAAACCAATATAAAATGTGGGTTTGTGGCACTGTTCTTTGTTGACTGTATCTTCAGGAAAGCTCACTGCAAGGTTCTGAAGTTATTCCACCTGTCCAGTTTGAAAAGCCATGAAAGAACCTGAATTTCAGAAGGTGTTGACCACTCAACAGTCTGTAAATTTGCTGTGCTGCTCCGTGGAAATCAAAAATCATACCGGAAACTAACAGTTGGATGCAGCTTATCCAGAGGAACAAAGAATATAACATGAGATTAGTTTTAAAAAAAGCCCACAGAACAAAACTAAACTGGACAAAACAGCTAAATACTGTCAGTTATGCTCAGAAGTCTTTCACCAGAATAGGAGCCCCCTGGTAGGAACTCATTTGCTGCTACTGGACCAAAACAACACACTCTTTCTCACACTAAAAAGCACTTGTTTGGATGCAAAGTTAGACTGGTACTCACAGCTCATCCTCAAAACAGATTTTAGCCATCTTTCCTTTGCCCCCACCACTGAGGATCCGGTAGGCATAATTCCCAGGTGGGCAGGGGCTCCAGTGGTCACATTTTTGCCTTTTGGGGACTGGGGCTACAACAGCAAAGGTGGGAAAACGTTTTGTTGGATGCTGCATAAACAATTTCTGCGTGGAATGAATAATCACTAAATGTCAACACTCTAAGCTCAGACATAAACACACAGAACCCCATCCTGACAGTTTTCCTGTATCATGGCAACATTATCACAGGTTTGTCAGGGCTTTAACTTATCATTGACTCTTATCCAGGGAAAAATGCCCCATTTAATATGATCTGAGTAATTATTTTGTGCTATTCCATACAACAGGAAACAAGGGCTAGAGGGATGAAGGTTTCCTAGCAAGAGCTTGAAGTTAATAGTTATCATTCTCATTTTAAGCCTTTTTTTTTAAACAATAACATAGTCACAGAATGAGAAAAATGTACACATTAAGCCACTTGGTCAGATTAGAGATAAAAATAATGAGAATCTAATCACAAAGTCTGGTTAGTGGTTCAACAGTTTATCATAATTAGGAAATACATGTGATATAAGCAAAGCTGTAGCTTTGCACGTATATGCCAGCAAACAAATAAGGTGTTCTTCCATCACTGTTCAATTAATTACATTTGCATACTGGCAAATATAGGCTGACATCATATTTCTTCACAGATAGTGTCCAAGAAAAAGTTTGGCCTTGTAATAATTAATTTTACACAGCCAACTTCCTTCTTATAATAGCACATACTAAGTAATTTCTTAGCTAACAAGCCATTTCTTATTTGGCATATAAATACACAATATCAGACATAGTATAAGAAAAAAAAAAGAAAAAAATACAATTACACACCCCTCAACACTGGTTTCTTTCTGATGCCTTGAAATTCAGCATTAGATATTGTCGTTTGGGGTACCCGAACAGCGATGAAGAATCCCAAATACCAAGCAGCCAATGATGTCAACAAGAGCCCTGTTAATCTCACAAGACCTGTGAAGGGAAAAATAAAAAGAAAAACCAAAAAATCCCACAGCAGGACTCAAAATCTTCCATTTCCTTCTGGCATTGCTACACGAACTGACTGTTTTCTGCCTGATATACTGTGTTAACCACAGCCCTCAGAGTCATGGCAAGAGAGGATTTGTTTTATTCCCATCCCTTTTGTTTCTAAAACTTGATCTTCAGGCAGAAAACTCTCCCCAGGACTCCCCTTTAATCCACAGCCATAATACCCCAAAGAAGCATGAAATTCAACTTAATCCTAGTAGGATTTTGACTGTGAAAAGTAAGTACCAGATGCCACACAGGTATTTTGCAGTTACTATTGACTTTCTGTGAAAGGCAAACGCCTATCAGGAATGGTTTAAAACACTTACCATACAGGGAAATCCTTCCATTCACCCTTTTAACATGCTGGGTAAAAATAACTGAAGAAGGCCCAAACAACCTTGTCCACACAACGAGCTCTGACTGCATTCATAGAATCATAGGATAATTTAGGTTGGAAGGGACTCTCAAAGGTAATCTAGTCAACCTCCCTGCAATAAGCAGGGAAATCTTCAACTCCACCAGGTTGCTCAGAGCCCTGTCCAGCCTGACCTTGAATGTTCCCAGGGATGGGGCATCCACCACCTCTCTGGGCAACCTTTGCCAGTATTTTACCACCCTCATTGTGAAAAACTTCTTATATCTAATCTAAACCTGCTGGTTTAAAGCCATTCCCCCTTGTCCTGTCACTCCAGGTCCCTGTAGAAAGTCCCTCTCCAGCTTTCTTGTCAGCTCCCTTTAGGTAGTGGAAGGCTGGTTCCCTGACTCAGGTGCAGCATCTTGCACTGGGCCTCATTTAACCTCATGAGATTCCCATGGATCCACTTCTTGAGCTTGTCCAGGTCCCTCTGGATGCCATCCCATCCCTCAGGAGTGTCAACCACACCACACAGCTTGGTGTCATCTGCAAACTCGCTGAGGGTGCCCTCAATCCCACTGTCCCTGTCATTGATGGAGACATTCAAACATGACTAGAGTGACTGTTTCACCTTCCCTCAGCCATATCAGAGTTTCCATGGACTGTATTAGCAGTGCACCTACATAATAGGACCCACAATTTTCATGGCTATGAAGAAATATATGTAAATTCCATATTGAATGTGTACTCTTCCTCAACACCAGAAATGGTATCAGGAATTCCTGATCTAGAAGAAATGCACCACCTAGTTTATGATGCTGAACAAGGAAGCCTCACACTGCAACTGTGGAACACAGATGTTGCAATGGCATGAGACACCTCCTGATGTGTAAAGAAGCATGTGCTTGAAAATAAGGGTCTGCTGAAACAAAAAAAAGGAAAATTATTACTTTTATAGTCCTGAAAACTAAGTTCAACAGAACCAGTGTCCAAAAATATTCAGCATGTTCACTTTTACAGCTGTCCAGAAAATGTTGTGTATTATCAAGTCTAAATCTTTCTTATAACAGTCTACACTTAAAAGATACTCCCTTCCTTTCCTTCTTGGAACTGCCTTTTATAGACATTAAGATTTCTGCCCTACTTTTTCTCTAGAATAAGGCCAAATTTTCCACTTGTCTTCCTCATGTCCTGTTTTGCAGGTTTTACCACTTTCCTGTGAATTCTGCCCAATTGGTCTGCATCCAAATTCTGAAAAACTGCAGAATGCACACACTAGTGCAACAAACACATTCTTGAGACTTTACTTCTGGTTATATGTGCCAGAAGGAACTTAGCCCTTTTTTTTTTTTTTCATAAGAGTAGACTTTATTGACTCAGGTTCTGTTTAGAATCTATCATAAAGACTGGATTTTACCTCCATATCCTGTATTTGTGCATGTGGTTATTCCTGCATTCTACCTGGCTTTAAAAATCAAAAGCCCAACAAAACACTGCAGAAACATTTGTGTGACTTTAAGAAAGATACTGTGAGAAATTTACAGTATTTTAATTGAAGGATTAAGACTGAAAGAGAAATATAATGAATCTTCAGATATTACAAATTTCCTTAATTATTACATATGAGAAATTTCTCACTCTATGACTAGTAGTGGTGCAAACCCACACAAAATACAGAAAATTACTCCAACATTTCATTCATGCAGTCAGTGTGAACATGAGCACTGACAAAATAAACGTGCATAAATAAGGAGAACTGGTGGAACCAAACAGAACAAAACTCACTTTTTCTCTTTTTGAATACTAAAAAAAAACCCAACAGATTTATACACAATATGTATTTAATTTGTAAAGGAGACCAAGTCACGAGTTTCAAAACCCAGGAAGAATTAAGTGAAAACTGCAAGTTTATTGAGAGATTTTAGTGATTGTTTTTGGGGAGATGGTGGGGTGCAAAGACCTGTGAGATCATCAGTCAGATTTTCTTTTGCTTTTTCTATTATAGGCTTGGTAGGTTTATCTTTACAATGATTTTTCACTGTTTTCCATCAAAACTAAGGAGCAACTCTGTTGCAAAACAGTCTCAACAGTGCAGCATTTTACCTAAATAGAAGAGAAAGTACAAAAGGTCTAACTGCTGTTAAGTCTGACCGTGGTGCCTGGGAAAATCATGGAGCAGATCATCTTGAGTGTGATCATATGGCACAAACAGGACAAGCTGGGGATCAGGTTTAGGAAAGGCAGGTCCTGCCTGACCAACCTGATCTCCTTCTATGTATGACCAGGTGACTTGCCTGGTGGATGAGGGGAAGGCTGTGGATGAGTCTACCTGGACTTCAGCAAAGCCTTGGACACTGTCTCCCACGGCATGCCCCTGGAAAAGCTGCATCCCATGGCTTGGACAGGGGCACTCTGTGCTGGGTTAGGAACTGGCTGGCCCAGGGTGGTGGTAAATGATGCTGCATCCAGTTGGCAGCTGGTCACTAGTGGTGTCCCCCAGGGATCAGTGCTGGGGCCAGTTTAATATCTTTATTGATGATCTGGATGAGGGCAGATGGAGGGCACCCTCAGTAAGCTCACAGACAACCCTAAGCTGGGTGGGACTGTTGATCTGCTGGAGGGCAGGAAGGCTCTGCAGAGGGATCTGGACAGGCTGGATCCATGGCCTGAGGACAGTGGCATGAGGTCCAACAAGGCAAAATGCGGGATCCTGCACTTGGGTCACAACAACCCCCCTGCAGCTGCAGGTTGGGGGCAGAGGGGCTGGAAAGTGCCTGGCAGGAAAGAATCTGGAGGTGCTGGTCGACAGCCCTCTGGGTAAAGAAACATTCTCCTAATATCCAAATTAAGCCTCCCTTGAAGCAACTTCATGCTATTCCCTTGGGTCCTGTGTTAGCAGTGCTACCTTATGGCAACTCCCAAATTCCCTTCTCCCTCAGGTGTTCACTTGTCCCTTGGCAGCAACTAAAGCACTAAATATAAGCACAGTATTGGGTGTGTTTTCCATGCTTAGCTGATTAAATATCCCCACGCAGCCCCACCTCGCTCATACACGCCCACCCATACGCAGCAGGACTTTAACAGAGAGAAAAAAACTGAAAAAGGAATATATTTAAGACTCAGGCATTAATTATTCCAGACTAAAAGCTGGGCGTTGAGCTGGGAACAGCCCTCCCTTCCCTTCCCCGTGGTGAGAGGGGTCTCGGGGGGCTCCTGCCTGAGGAGGGCATGAACCCAGAGGGGTGAACCCTACTCACAGTGCCGGTTCGGCTTCATTATTCTGCCTTCTCCTATTCCTCTTCCTGCTCCTCGTCCCTCTCCTGCCAGCACCGGGAAGGGGAGCGGCCACTCGTCAGTCAGCGCTGCACCGCCCCAGGAGTGAAAGGAAATAACTTTTAAGTTATTCTCTGCAGAAAGCAACCAACTGGAGTCCACCACTAGCAAATTTGCACATGACACTAAGTTGGGGAGGAGTGTCCCTCAGCTGGAAGGCAGGAGGGCTCTGCAGAGGAACCTGGACAGGCTGGAGAGTTGGGCTGATTCCAACGGGATGAGGTTCAACAAGGTCAAGTGCCAAGTCCTTAACTTTGGCCACAACAACCCCCTGCAGCGCTACAGTCTGGGACAGAGTGGCTGGAGAGCAGCCAGGCAGGAAGGGACCTGGGAGTTTGGACTGACAGGAAGCTGAACATGAGCCAGCAGTGTGCCCAGGTGGCCAAGGCCAATGGCATCCTGGCCTGGATCAGGAACAGTGTGGCAGCAGGACCAGGGAAGTGATTCTACCCCTGGACTCAGAGCTGGTGAGGCCACCCCTGGAGTGCTGTGTCCAGTTCTGGGCCCCTCAGTTCAAGAAGGACATTGAGGGGCTGGAGCAGGTCCAGAGAAGAGCAGCGAGGCTGGGGAAGGGACTGGAGCACAAGTGCTGTGAGGAGAGGCTGCGGGAGCTGGGGCTGTTCAGCCTGGAGAAGAGGAGGCTCCTCACTCTCTACAACTCCCTGACAGGAGGGTGTAGCCGGGGGGGGGTTGGTCTCTTTTCCCAGACAACTGTCAGCAAGACAAGAGAGCAGGGTCTTAAGCTGTGCCAGGGGAGGTTTAGGTTGGATATTAGGAAGAAATTCTTTACAGAGAGGGTAATCAGCCACTGGAATGGGCTGCCCAGGGAAGTGGTGGATTCATTGTCCCTGGAGGTTTTTAAGATGAGACTGGATGTGGCATCAGTGCCATGGGCTGGGAACCAGGGCGGGGTTGGATCGAGGGTTGGACTTGATGATCTCGGAGTTCCCTTCCAACCCAGCTGATTCTATGAAGGCTCACACAGCACCCAGCAGCTCATTTGGAAAGCTGAACTTTTTCCTGTTTTTTTCCTCCAAATGTCATAATCATAGAATCATACAGTGGTTTGGGTTGGAAGGGACCTTAAAGATCATCTAGTTACAACCCCCCTGCTGTGGGCCAGGACACCTTCCACTAGCCCAGGTTGCTCAGAGCTCCATCCAGCCTGGCCCTGAACACTTCCAGGGATCCAGGGGCAGCCACAGCTTCTCTGGGCAACCTGTGCCAGGCCTCACCACCCTCACAGGGAAGAATTTCTTCCTAATACCTAATCTAAACCTATTCTCTTTCAGTTTTAATCCATTGTCCAGATGAAAGTTATTTTTGAATCTGTTGAACCCAACCCAGAAGGCAAGCAAGGGCTTTTTCCTGGCAGCAGCCAGGGTCTGCCTGGTCCACTGGAACCCCCTCTCCTTCTTCTACCCATCATCTTCTACCCTGGGATGACACAAGTCCCACCACGAGCACCAGCCCACTGGGCCAAGCCCTTGGTTCATCTTTCCTTGTGAACAAGGTGTCATGCACCATCACCTGGAGGCTTCCTTCAGGTTGGTCACTCCTTGTTTGCATCATACCACCAAAAACCTGGCACCACTTGCACTTGGGATGTGGGGCAGTACCCCTGCTCCTCTCCTTCTCCTCAGCTTCCCAGCCCAGATGCAAGGAGTGCGAAACTAGAGCACAGTGCTGGCAGCACACGGTTTCCAGTCTGTGGCAGATAATGTGAGATAAAGGCATTGCCCATCAGGAGCCTCATATCATGGGCTTGGTTTTCTGCTTTTAAAATGTCTATTTTCCAACATGCTCTGGTTGATGGGTGTGTGGGTGCTGAGCCCCAGCAGCACCAGTCAGTGCTGGCACTGAACCAAAGAAACTACAGCTCACACCAAGGGCAACTTGTGAGGACTGAAGTGGCCACTCAAACGTGTTCAGGAAACTGGGCTGAAGACCTCCAAGCTGGGCAGAACCCTAACAAAGAAACCTGTAATTTCACAAAACCACTAAATCATTTAGGCTGGAAAAGACCTCTAAGGTCAGTGAGTCCAACCTTTGACTGAACACCCCTTTGCCCCCCAGCCCAGAGCACTGAGTGCCACGGCCAGCCCTTCCTTGGACACCTCCGGGGATGGGGACTCCACCACCTCCCTGGGCAGCCCCTGCCAATGCCTGACCACCCTTTCCATGAAGAAATTCCTCCTGATGACCAACCTGAACGTCCTCTGGTGCAGCTTGAGGCTATTTCCTTTTGTCCTGTCCCTTGTTCCCTGGGAGCAGAGCCTGAACCCCCCTGGCTCCCCTCTCCTGTCAGGGAGTTGTAGAGAGCAGTGAGGTCTCCCCTGAGCCTCCTTTTCTCCAGACTAAACATCCCCAGCTCCCTCAGCCCCTCCTCATATGACTCACTCTCCCGACCCTTCCCCAGCTCTGTTGCCCTTCTCTGGACACACTCCAGCCCCTCAATGTCCTCGTTGCAGTGAGGGGCCCAAAACTGGACACAGCACTCGAGGTGTGGCCTCACCTCTCTAATTTTCATTTAGAAATTTAATCAAACTACACTGTGATTTAGTAGCTGCCCTTAAAACTCTCGGATTTGGTTTCCCTTAAGCTTTTTTCATTCCCTCTGCCTTTAATGATGCACAGAAATTATGTTTAGTTCAGCAAACAGATGAATAAAATCCTGTAGGAGGGCACATGTAGGACCACAGCCAGATTTGGGCTTTTCATTCCTCCCAGGACACCCATGAAAGCTATAAATGTTTCCAGACCCTGGAGGAGAGGTGTTTCTTGTCCTTTTCTGTGAGTGGTATATTATAATAGCCTACAAATTGCAGGTAAAACCTGAGGGAGTAATTGCTGCTGGTTATTTTCAAACGTACTCGAGCTTGCAAATGAAAAGTAACATCCCATAAAACCTGGGGTGTGAATAATTAAAGAGGTAGCATGGGACAAATAAACTTGAGGAATGAAAAGCACAGGATAGAAAGGGAAAGGAGTTATGAGAGGGCAAAAGAAAATTAAGGACACCACTAGTCTGGGTTACTTTTCCAAACATGCAATTATTTCTGCAGGAAGTGTTGTCCTGCAAAATGGCACATCAGGAAATGGTGCTAATAAATGATTGAAACTGTTGAAGAGTGCACTTCTAGTCCTTAAAGTAACAATAATATGGCTTTAAACCCAAAATGCTATGGCTTGTGGTAGCCAAATGAAAAAGTCTTCTATTTTTATTTAAGCAAGGGACATTAACTGGGACTTGGGATAATTTAATTTTGAAATAAATTTATATTCTGTGAGCATTGGTGGCTCACGCTTCATAGAGAAAAATTTTAAGCCCTTAGGAACTTGGTCACCACCTCAATACTGTGAAAACCCCCCATCATTAGCAACCAGTGTCTATTGGAAAACTGCCATTTTACCTCTTTTAGTGTAGCAGGTTACTTTATTTTCATTATTGCCTAAACTCCATTGACCCACACCCAGGCATTTCCTACAAAACCAGTCAACACAGCAAGTGCCTTGCTTGCCTGACAAATCCCAGGGATCCAGTGGTCTCCAGCTGAGGGGATTTTAAATACCTAAGGACTAGAAATCCCTTAAATGTTTTACTTCAGGTATCTCAGTTTGGTGTCTGCAAGAAACAAGCACTACAGTTCTTTCTTTAGTAATTAATCACAGATGTGGAACGCAGAAGACTTCCAAAGCATCATTTCTGATCTTACTCTCTGTACCCATTCACTCTGTAATTTGAAAGCTTAGAGGAAAAACTTATAAAAAATATTATTCTTCCCTCTTGATGCTTTGTGAGGCCGTGAGACCCTTCGGTGATAAGCAGGAGAGGGAATCTACTCGGGAAACAAATGGTTCTTGCAGACACTAAATGGCACACAGTGTTAGTCTTGTCTTATCATCACAAAAGCCAGCCAGTAGAGGTTTATGGGCTAACACAGTAAAACTACAACAGAGCAAGTTCCTGCTTGTCCTTTGAGCCAATGTTCCTCCAGAGGTATTTTCTGCATCCGCCCCACTTGACTAGCAAATGAGCAAAAGTGTCACTCCAGTCCTCGTAGCTATTTAATTTACATGTTTTCTGCTCATCCACCAATGGATTTTTAATCCCGCTAGGATGAGTTAAAAGAATTTAATGGTTTAAAATGGAGGCAGAATCCGTAAGGCAGAAAAAGAACACTGTACTAAATCTTTGCTTGTAGGGGTCACAAGAACTTAAAGGGCTACCAGAAAAAAAAAAAACAAAACAGACCACCTACATAAAATGTGCAACTGCTGTTTAAGTTAAGTGATTTTACCTAAGACTTGGGGCGGATAAGAACATACACATGGACAACAGAGGGGTGGCAATGTGAAAGAGCAAGTATTTAACTCAGTCATGCTTCACCATGTGCTTGTGCCCATAATTCAAGTGGAACCTCAGCCTCCTGGCAGTGGTAGCATGAAGAGGAATGTGGAGAAATAGTAAATGTATATTGTAATACAATTACTGTGGGTTTTTTTCTTTTCTTTTCTTTTCTTTTTTTTTTTTTTCTGTTATACCTTGAATGTTTTTATGAAATCCAGGAAGAAATACTTAGAACAAGGTGACAGCTTTTAGACATGATATATTAAAATCACCTTCCTCAGGACATGCAAAAATGGATCATATAACAAAGGGAAAAAAGCAAGCATTGATTACTTTCAGCTGATAAGCTACAAAACCTGTAAAGCTTGTGAGTCTAGGACATTGCTGGCCTGTTAAACAACACAAAGGTGGGGCATATTTGTGTATTTTCCTTATGCTTTGTTAATCTAGAGAAATAGGTGGAAAATGTAATTAACAGACAGAAGATGTTGACTGAGGAAGTTTTCTCAGTATTAGCAGTAGTAGCTTAAATATATTACGTGCCCAAATCTAGTCCTCCTTAATACACAGCAACCCAAACTTTTCCGAGGAGGAAGGCAAGGGTAGGGAATAGGGCAAAATGAGAGGGAAGGGAAAATCCTTCTGTTAAATGCTGGGTATTTTCACATGGC